CCCGCACTAGGGAAACCCTGTGTCGCGGGTGCCATGGACACATACATAGACACAAACACAAATTACACCCAAACTCACGAGAGAAATAAATGTAGGCCATACAAATATTTCTCCCGGCCCGGGAATCGAACCTAGGACCTCTGCGTGGCAGTCCGGCATGGTAACCGTTCGGCCACGGAAGCAGTTAATAATATAATATGGGTATCATTTTCGAGGTACTTGGGGGTGCTCATTACGAATATGGCACTCATTTCTAAATCCAAGATGGCGGGCACGATTTTTTCAAAAAATGCTATATGGGTATCATTTTCGAGGTATTTGGGGATGCTCAATGTGAATATGGCACTATTTGTAAATCCAAGATGGCGGGCACGATTTTTCAAATAATGGCAAGTTGGATATCGTTTTCGAGGTATTTGGGGGTGCTCATTACGAATATTGCTTTTGTTTGAACTGTCGTGTTTGCCATCTTGGATTTAGAAATGAGTGCCATATTTGTATTGAACATTCCCAAACATCTCGAAAACGATACCCAACTTGCCATTATTCGAAAAATCGCGCCCGCCATCTTGGATTTAGAAATAAGTGCCATATTCGAAACCTAAAACCGAAAATGCCATAAGCAAACATTAAAGAAAATAACTGTTAAAATAGATTAAAAAATTTCTTTTAAGTTGAAACTTTTAAGAAAATAAAATATTTCAATATGAAATATTTCGCTTGAGTTACGAAAAGAAAGACATTATAATAAGCTATCAAAGTTGTACTGGTGGTGCCAACACTATAGTAGAAACAAATATATATTGTAAATTTGTTGCAATATGTGCTCCAATTCAAATAAAATTAAAATAAATAATTATTCAATAAAGCATGAACGCAGAGCCGTTAAAAGTATTGTAAAATAATTAAGTGTCCCAATCACTTACAGGAGTTAACGAAAACATTTAATGTTTATTCGAGTAAATATTAGTTCAAGATGCGCAAATAAATCGAAATTACAGGCACCACTAAAATTTACGTAATATAATTATTTTGAAACAGAATAGCAAAATGGGGAGAAAAAAAATTCGTTACTTTGCAACACTTTCGTATCTTGTTGCCGCGAAATTATTTTTCTGTTTTAGTGAATATTTACATAAAAATATGAGTTGAAACGCATTACTTACTTGTGGAATGCGATGTTAGTGTCTATTTTATGTTTGTCTGTTGTATTTTTACACCCTTTTACCGCACATTTCGTCATTTTTAGCAAAAAAATTTGGAGCTGTTCGCGGTGCAATATGACCTTGAGCACTGACAGCCCGCGCGCTCCTGGGAGCGCGTTTGGAAGCCTCTAACTTGCCTCACTTAGCGTGTGCGGGCTAGGTTTCTATGCGTTATTATTCTAAGCCCTTACCCTTTAAAACCGGAACGCAGTAATGCTCACAGTACTGCTTGGCGGCAGAAATAGATAAGGTGGCAGTACTACTCTGGACGAACTCTTCCACATGGAGTTCTATTGCTACTAAAACTTTAGATCTGCATTAACCTACTTTGGTATTTATGTAAATGATAAATAACCCTGTTTTCATTAGTAGGTCCAACGAAAGATGATGATAATGTTGAACAGATTAAAGGCGCCATTAACTTGGATTTTGTGTTCTTTTTTTTCTTATTTCTCTTGGCTTTTCGCGGTAAGAGTTTTAGCCACTTACAAAGTGTTTTGACTACTACTGTTGTTTTTAAGGAAACTTTTATAATATCATGTAATGTAATCTGGAAACGGAATTATTTATTTTATTGTCTAGTTCGACGTAGATTACTTTTTAACCCCCGAAGCAAAAAGAGGGGAGTTATAATTCGAAGCTTTTGTCTGCGGCGTAATAGGTTCCAAGCAGAAGGACTGACGACCATGAGGAAACGGTCATTTCAAAACAGATTTTTATTTGAAAGCTAACTTTATCAGAATGGTTCTTAGCTGTCTATCTATATGAATATCTTCTGCTTAGCTGTTTAAAGATCATCACCTGTTTCCTGTTAGTATAGGGACCTCAATTTTACTACCACCTCTCCGACTGACGAAATTTGTTAGCCTTAATTTTATACTGTAATCACCCAACTACTACCGCAGAACTAATAGGTCTCGATGAGTTGTTGGCTTAGCATGCATCATTCATAAACTTCATGCAGTCGAGATCTCGGATGACGACTTCACGCATAAACTGCACGCAGTCGAAACCGACTTCATGCTGCCGAGATCGCCTGCATGCAATTAATGCGTGAAGTCGTTATCAACTTCATGCAGTCGATGTCTCGGCTCCGTGAACTTTACGACTTCACGCAAACTGCAAACATGCAGTCAATCTGTTGACTTTTTGGGAGTACACTGTTTTGTACAGGAGTTTTTAAATTTTAAGTTTTTATTAAACAAGCAGAGCCGCGTTCTAATGAAATGCCACGTAAAAATTATCAAGTTTTGGGCTCTGAAATGATGGCGCATACAGGTAAGTGTTAAACAAATAAAAGATATCAATATTTTATAATAATACTTGCATTCATTTATTATTACTAAATAATTATAATATAAAATCTTAAAACTTATATAAATATCATTGTAAATTAGTGCTTACGTTGAAAACTGGAGTTTTTAGGTATTTCCATCTGATAGTTTAAATACTTTATTAAACATCTTACAGCGGGCTGTATAAATGTGTGTCGAGCGCTGAACACCAGAAAACCAGACCAGGCAAATAACGAAATATTAAATTCATTTTACAAGTAATGTGATATAGTGGCACTTCTCAAGAGGCCATTATTTGTATTTGGGTATTTGATATATTTGGCAAACAATTACCATGTGTAGATAGATGTGTGGGAAAGTATTTGCTATGTTCGCCTATTTGACAAATACAACCACCACCAAACACACGGTACCGCGCGCTCGTTGGTTTTTCGATGCACAACAAAGGGTTCACATAGACTAATTCTCATGTATAACGTCGACAACTCCACAATTTGGTCATCTTCATTATTTTATGCGTAGACGATCATATTTGTCTGTATTTGCATGTTTGCTATACGACTCGTATGTCAAATTTTTTTCCAAGTACAGCGCAATAGCGAATATGAACAGACATGAGTAATGCCAACTTAAGACATTATAAGCAGCAATTAAGCACTACAGCAAAATATAACAATCTAACCGGGAAAAGCCAAGAAAAAATGCCACGAAATCATTTAAATTTCGATTTTGAACTTCTCTATAGTATAGACGACGACCTCGGTTGTACAGCGATTACCACTGAGACATACATATATAGATGATATTTCGGGTTAGATTCGCGGTAGAACCAATTCGGGAAATTAACTTTTATACTCAAAGGATAGGGAATTCCTTAGTTTGAGATCAGGTAAATGATATAGTTATTTGGTAGGTGATCAAAACAAAACAGATACCAAGGCAGGTCCTATTTAATTTTAATTTACCTAAATACCATCATGCCCGTCTCTCAATGAGTTAGGCTGGACCGCAACACACTACATTCGATAGATCTCTTTCTTTAACGTGCATCAGTCTTTTAATACACGCCTGTTTGGTCCTGGTGCTTTTGCCTAGGCCTTTTTTATTACTTGTACTATTATGAGATTATAAGAGATAAAGCATTTAATATCCGACCTTGAATACATTGAATACGTCTAAATAGAACTGGCCTATGGACGCACAGGAGGACCACATATACAGAAACACTTTACAAGATTGTGGCACCGCCCTGACTGGCCCGAATCATTTATTGCGTCCAGCGGTACCGACGACGTTGTTATACGTGTCGCGTCTTCATTACTCCACCAAGTCTGCGGATATTGTGGAGTACATGCGAGTGAAGGCCAATGCAAACCTGAGGGTCGAGCGGTTGGAGTCGCGCCACAACGTGAATTTTAATTCATTTGTGGTGCGAGTACCAACTCAACACCTGTCGACCTTCATGAGAGAAGACTTTTGGCCGAAGGGTGTCATATACCGGCGTTTCCGAGGACGGCTACCGGACACTCACGTTGCGTCACACGTCGAAGTACATACGTGTAAATAAATAGTGATATTATCATGTTATATTGTATTTATGATTAGTCCGTAAGGTATTTATTTAATATTTCTGTTATTGTTTTATTATATTATTGTTATATTATATGTATGTTAGTCTGTAAGGTATGTATCTATGGGTCCTAGTTGCCTGAAATAAATAAATAAATAAATAAAATAAAATAAATTAAAGAAGAACCGCTGCTGGAGGCGGCTGTAGATAGGATTCCAAAACAATACATTTTCGACAAAAAGTACAAGATTAGAGAGAACAATTATTCGAAGATCCCAATGAAGGAAGACCCCAAAGACGTTCGCATCTTCACTGACGGGTCCAAAACAAATTCTGGAACAGGTACTGGGGTATTTTCTGAAGACTTCAATATAAGGATTTCAACACCACTTAGCAACCATGACACAGTATTCCAGGTTGAATGTGTGGGTACCGAGTTGGCAACAGATGCAATCATAGCTAGAAGAGTACTACTTCAGAACGAAAAAGAACTACTCCATTTGAATATTCTCCGACAGCAAGTCAGTACTTCACGCACTGGGTGGCTATGATATAAACTCATGGCTCATCCATGAATGCCATCCATGGTTGTGTATGTACACAACCATGTAATCCTACAATGGGTCAAAAGACACAGTGGCTTACGTGGCAAAAACACAGCTGATGAACTGGTCAGATAGGGGTCGGAGATGGACGCTGTAGGACCAGAACCCTCCCCGTCCAATGGTCAATAACAACTGTAGACAAAAGTACAAAAACTTTTCATAATAACACCGACTACCCTTACGGTTTACAGACAGGCTAAGCAAGCATTCCCCATGCTTAATGCCAGTCTATCTCTTAAATTTATTATTTTTTAAACTCAAAAGGAAAGAGGTGCGCATTCAAATAGCAGCTCTAACGGGTCATGGTTCATATAATCGGACAGCCCTCTATGCAGACCGTGCATTAAGGAGGAGGAAACGGCCGCGCACATCCTGCTACAATGTTCCGGCGTGGTCAACTACAGGGTAAAGTACCTAGGAGTGCCGTGGTTGCTCCCCGAAATCTTCAGCAAACCCAAGAAGGCGCTGAGATTCTTGGAAGAACAAGCTCTTTCCTGGGTGGCATAAGTAAGATCCTGCACCCACCACACGCAAAATAGGCGCCCGGTCGTCGAGTTGCAAACAACAGCCCATTACACCATATCATACCTTGAATACATAAACATTGGTGCATGTATAAGCACATCATACACGGCACATGATTACACTAACGTATCCTAATATTTATTTAGAAAATGATTGTCAGTTTTACTTATTACACTGCCTATGTTAAAGTTTCTCCTTTGGTTACCTGTAATGATAAGGAAAATTATCATTATTACTAGAAAATATGTGTTAAGTATATTATTTTATAACCTCGGTGACCCCACAGCTAATAATAAATAATGCACACACTCAGTCCCGCACTAGGGAATCTCTGTGTCGCAAGTGCCTTGGACACACACATAGGCAACCACAAATTACATTGAAACTCACAAAATAAATAAATGTAGGCCGTACAAATATTTATCTCGGTGTGGGAATCGAACCCGGGACCTCTGCGTTCGATTCGGTTACCATGCTAGAACCGTTCGGCCACGGAAGCAGTTAGCACTACGGAAATGAGGTCGTAGATTCTATTCCCTAACAGTAAAGGAAAACATTGTAGTGAAACCACTATGTTTAAGAAGGTATTGTAACTTAGCAAACAATACTACTAAAGTCGTTGTGAGTAGTTTTAAAGGAAAGTTGAAAAACTACATATCTGTATACAAGATTTTTTTAACACTTGTTAATAGATCAGAGACATAATAGAATGGTACCCAAGAGAAGGCAAATGCAGACAGCGAAGGCAGAGAAACAGATGGGAAAATGATCTACAATAGGTGGCAGGTGGCAGTCTCAGGAGGCCTGTCGAAAGACAAGCTGATGATGTGGAGGTAATTTAGTAACAGACAAATTTTGTACATGCATTTATTGAATTATTAATCTTGCAACTATTTATCTTAAGTATTAATTTTTAACTAAAAATTGAAACTGTCATTTTTTCCAAAAATTTGAGAATGGTTCTTTTTATATTTTTCAACAAATCAACCAATGAAATGAATTTGGTAAAATGATCAACAATTTTTTATTTTTTTTTAATAATAATAACGCACACACTCGACATAGCCCCGCATTAGGGTAACCCTGTGTCGCGGGTGCCATGGACACACACATAGACAACCACAAATTACACCCAAACTCACGAGAGAAATAAGTGTAGGCCATACAAATATTTCTCCCGGCCCGGGAATCGAATCTGGGACCTCTGCGTGGCAGTCCGGCATGGTAACCGTTCGGCCACGGAGGCAGTTGTTAATTGGCAATTAAGGCTATAATTGTCTGGAAGAGATCGGTCTTAGCGATAAGACCGCTTTTGCCCACATTAGTTTTAAGTTGTTTATGTAGTGTTCTTGTTCTTGTGTGTGAGCAACAAAGTGTTTATATATCTATTTATGTCTAATAAATATTAAAGTAAAAAAACCACAATTTTCAAATTTTTAAGTTATTGAACATAATTATGCTTGACCACCATGTTTTATAGTGGCCACCATGACCACCATATTCAATTTATTTTGTTACTTCACTAGTTTGTTATAATTATAAATACAAAGATTGAATACTTCAAAAAAATTTGTTCAATACAGCTGGATTCGAACCAACATTTTCCAGCAAACTGTGCCAGACGTTAAGCCAACTAAGCCACGGAACGAAGTAACGGACTTCACGATTTTCGTCGGAGCTTGTTGCAGATCTTTTTTTTGTTTTTAACAACTTTGTTATGTTGTTAAAATTGTCAACTTGAGCAGTGTGTGTTATTTGCTAAGCGACAATATGAAATCCCACACAGCCAGTTTGGTGGACAGCATGGTATATAATATATACTCACACAAGCTTCCAAATAGTCAATTTTCCTCTCTAAATATGTCAACTTTTCATTTAGTGTGGCGAGACGGGATCGGCAAGACATGTCTGAAAAGAAAAACAAAAAGTAAATGTAAGTTAATATAGGAAATGAAACTATTTTTCCGGATTTAAATCGCGTATATTTGTTTTTTCAAACAAACTGACGTTTCGGGCCCTTTACAGGTCCCATGGTCACGGTTGACTGAGGTGGTACAGTCTTCAACCAGTTATGTCTAATATTAATGCAAACCACCCTATTTTTTCCACTATAGTTACAATAGTTATTAATTAAATACCTTATTTTTAATTTTACAAAGAAAACATTCCAATTTACGCTACATTAAGTTTTACAAATTATTTTATTGAATGAATTTTTATTAAGTTTCATTTATTATTAATTATTAATAGAAATTAGAATAAACTAAAACATATTAATTAGTACTGCAGTCTTATGTCTGTTTGGAAGAAAAACAAAAAGTACATAAATGTAAGTTAACATAGGAAATGAAACTATTTTTCCGGATTTAAATCGCGTATATTTGTTTTTTCAAACAAACCGACGTTTCGGGCCCTTTACAGGTCCCATGGTCACGGTTGACATGATGATGACAGTCGAAAACGACTGATTATTTTGAAATTTGGTGCATATATGCATTTGTGTGACCAAAACTTGTAACGTAAATAAATTAATTCTGAATTTGACGTCACTATTGAGGGAAAGTTGTGAAGTATATATTTTTTGTAATTTTGAAGTATAAATATTTTTAAGTTGTTTAAGAAAATAGACAAAAATTGATCATTCTCCCCTTTATCTACGAAACTACTGAGCTTAAAGTTTTGAAAAAAATACAGAGATTGTCTTTAAATCTCTTACTATTGTGCGACTAAACCTATATTGCTGTTGGAATCCGGTGTAATATGTTAATCGATATTAAAGTTAAATCAGTGGATGGCGCAACACTATTTATCTAGCACACATGCACATTATATGCACACAGATGTATTTTTGTTTTGGTCTCGTCTCCAATACTCCAGGGCCAATCTATGAATATACTAAATCTATGGATTTTATTGACTGCTTTGATGACATATTGCAGTGATTGAAATAGTTGTTTACTTAAATTTCTAGCAACCAAATGTTGTCTATGAATGACGCAATGTACAGCAAGGACATTTGGAATTTTATTTTTTAAGTACGCTATGAAGCCTTTATGGCACCCTGGCGTAGCCAGAGCGCCAACGTAGCAACTGATATAATATTTTTCAAGGGAACCTCTTTCTCATCACAAAACTCCTGTGTTATGACACCAATGTTTTGAATATGGTTTCGCTTTTTGTATCGGTCACTAAATTTCTAGCAAAAACAATAGTTCTTTACATATTTTCTCATCTTTAATAAACCTCACGTAAGACAGCAACAATGCTTCATTAGTTGGTAAAGTGGATTCATCGAACTGAATGGAGAATTGACTAGTCCTCAGATGATTGCACAAATGTTTTTAGACAATATTCGAAAATGTTTTTAGACATAGAAGGCATAAAAGCGACGATGGGATTGTGGGACTTTTAATGAATCCGAATTTAATTATGTATATTTAAATATTTATTCTGCACAGTATTGCAGTCTCTTCTTTTCTACTTCCGACATTGTTTTGTTTTGAGAAATGTGTAAATAAGTGTTGAACTTAAGTACTGCTTATCTATTACGTGCGAAACGGCAAATGAAAATAAAATTAATATTACGTTGTTTATATAGGACTGCATAAGCAGCACGCACTGACAGGAATAAGACAAACATGCATAAACTCATTTATCTCATTCGACACTCAACCATACTCAACAAGTAAGAACAAGTATTCTATGAACCAGTCGATTGATACAGGAATGCACAAATCGGGATATTTAACAAAAATTTGTTAAAACATGATTGCCTGCAGTCTATCATCTACGAAAATTACCTATCTAGGAATACTAATAACTATTACAATGCGAGACTGTGTCTGTTTCTTTTTTTATTTGTTTGTTTGTATCTACTTTCATTTAGAAATGGAGCGACCGATTGACATGATTTTTATTTTATTTATTCAATAAAACAGGACGGATATATGAACTACACGGAGAGAAATGTCAAACTAAGTTAGTTTGAGCAATCTCTTAATTAACAATAGTTGATGTTCACAAGTTGTAGTTGTATGATTTATATTTTCTTTCAAATGAATACCTAGATGATAGCTCTGTGATTGCTGCATAAATTGCTGAATAAAAACAAAATTCTCTGTATATGTGCACATAGTTTTATGTAAATAAACTGTTAATACTAGTTACCAATAAAGTTTTAAGCCAGTAACTTCGTTGATATGATGGATATTATGTACTCTGTGTGGAGTGGTATGCTCCGACATTTAACTGTAAATTGGCTCTAAATTACTATTTATTAAAAATGTATAGTTTGTACTGGACATGTATAGTAATTATAAATACACGAAACCAAACAAGAAACACATTATTTCTTGTTTTTCAATGTCAAAGTAAAAGTATTACTCACCGAAAGAGTTAAGGAAATCAGTGATCTTTTTTATACTTCCCGTGATTACTTCGATATATTCTCGGTTTGCCCAATCTTGCTGAATTTGTTTTTGAATCGTTTCTCGTGGTGGAGCCGACATTTTTGTTAAAATTTATGATAATTACACAAATAGTGCAAAATCCACACTGAGCGATGAATGAAATTGATTGAAGGAATGAAATGAAATTGAATGATTTTAGTAGCTTTTAACTGTTTTTTGACATTTGTAAAGTACGTCAGAAAGTTTAATTCTCTTTATGGCAACACCTGTATTTTGAATTTAAAAAAATAAACATAACCTTTACATAAACAGCTGTTTCTAAAAACAAAGTTTTTTTGCGGTATCGTTGACTATTTTTAATCAATTTGACAAAGTGAAAATGGATGAAATAGAGTACAAGTTGGATACTAATAACAGTGTGCTAGTGGTGAACGCGATAGATAAGTTGATATCTGCTATAAAATCAAAGTTCAAGCCGACGGAACGACAGCGGTTTGTGGTGGAGAATGAGGAGCTAAAGTTTTTGCGCGAAAAATGTTCGTCGAAGGATCGTATGGTGAGCCTAACGGCGTGCCAAGGGCTATTGGCTCTGGTGGAGCTTGGAGTTTTGGAGATTGGACACACTATGTCTACTGTAATAACTTTGCTACCTAGTGCTCAGTGAGTTGGTGTCTTATAGATTTCAAGACTTTCGTGGTTATTCACTAAATGATTATCACTAATATCAGGATTCTTACCACGACCAGCGTGCAACCGTTCCGAAATATCAGGAAAATAAAAAGAATTCGTACTGTGGTAAGAAAACTGATATTAGTGATAATAATTTAGTTGGTGTATTGTTTACAAAAATTGTTAAGTCTCCAGAAAACTTTAGCAATTCGTTCCCAAAGATTAACTCAACCTTGTCAGGTTCGAGTAGTGATCAACTATATTCCAATAAATTATAACTTTCCACGCTGACATCGGTCAAAAGTTTGTTACTGAACGAAAACGACACCTAACTTTGTTTTACTAAACGATTTTATTTTTTATTTCCCGCTAAATAAAACTTCCTACAATGTTTCTAAAAGAAAGAAAATAACATGAGCTCTCAAATTATATTTTTGTAATGTCATTAAAATATATATATAACCGTCATTGTGAATAAAAACCGCCGAAGTATTTTAATAACCGGCAATCTATCTCACTACCGCTACACATGTCTCTCAACCCTGACATTGGCAAAATCGTCGCGCAAAACGACGGAGCCATAGACACAAAAGTTGAAGTTGAAGTTGAAGTTTGAGCTCCGGTTTTAACATAGTTACATTATTTTTTCATGTAAACATTATGTTAACTCGTGGATTTGCTATTGTAAAGTAGAAATAAAATGGCTAAGAATAGTCAGAAAGATAGAGTTTCATAGATAGAGTTTCATAGTTAGGTGTGTTACTCAAATTGCATTACGGGATCAAGTGAATATTTGTATGTCTCGGATTCTATATTTATACTATACGGTAGTGCAAGAGTGGGATGACATTTACAGAGTGAGCAGGATAGGACAGCTGGAAATGGTTAAATCAACTTGCAGCAGTCTCTAGCTTCTCTCTTACAGCACACCCTTCTGATGTCTAATACCTTTACTAGCCTATATATGAGATCTCTTATTCAATATGTAGTTGGACAACATTCAGGGTATTAGATGTTATGAACCAGACTGAAATTTTAAAGTTACTATTTACAAATCACAATTTTTTTATAATATGAAGTGGTGGGTCGGGCACGTCGTTTGCCTCATGATAAGCTACACTGGTTCATAACAGTTGAAGTGCGTCTCAGAGCTTTAATTCGCAAAGATCTTAGGGTTACTGCCACTGCGCCTGTCACCCTGAGACTTAAGTTGACTAGTCCCATGTGCCTGTAATTTCACCAGCACCCTTACTCTTCAAAAGCGAACACAGTAATGCTGACATTACTGCTGGCGGCAGAAATAGATAAGGTGGCAGTACTTCCCTGGACAAACTCTCACAAGGAGCTCTACTGCTACTGAATATCACTGTGTTGAATAATAAGGTCAAATCTGTTATACATTTAATATTTATGTGAAAAAAAAATATAGTGAAATAAATAAACCATAATTTTCAGTAACTATTCAGCCATAATATCAACAATGGCAGGCCTTCTCACACTAGATCTGCGGTCCCGCCTGATCCCCGGGCAGTTGTACACATGTCAATTTGGGTTACGCTCCCCACAACACCCTCTTGTTACCGTATTGGAGCAGAATAAAGGCTCTGAAGATGAAGTACTCGCTCAGATGCATGCTCTGTGTACACATCCAGATTACACGTAAGTATGTATGAAGTTGTTGTAGAATGTTACTGACTGAGGAATATGAATATAAGTTAGAATAGAAATACATAACGAAGAGTTTAATCCAAACTTTTTAGTCCATGTCACAGTGGCCATTAGGTAGGCAGATCGCCTGTGGCGTCTGGCACTGAGTGTATATTCAAGAATTGCCACCTATTTGCTACCTTTTCTAAATAATTGCTAGGTTTGATATATTCTGAGAAATTAAAAAAATAGGTAGCAAATCGTGAATGTCCACTTAGTGTCAGACGCCACAGGCGATCAGCCATCCTGACGGTCACCATGTTACAGTGGAAATAGAACTAGATGAAGCACTGATAACACTCTGCGAATATCCACAATTATGAACTTCTTTAGTTATGTGCTTCGAACTCCTGTTATCAAATAAAGAACCTAACTTGGTACTTGATGCAACGGGCTGGTATCTGCAACTCGACGACAAGGCGCCTATTTTGCGCGTGGTGGGTGCAGGGAATCTCAGCAGCGTCCTTGGTTTGCTGAAGACTTCGGGGAGCGACCTTGGCACTCCAAGGTACTTTGCCCTGTAGTTGGCCACGCCGGAGCACTGAAGTAGGATGTGCGCATGTCACCTCTCCCTCCATGCACGCTCTGCATAGAGGGCTGTCTGTGATACCTAAATTGAAAAGGTGTTTATTGTATGGACCATGACCTAAAGAATCTAAATAGTGGTAGTATTCTAGAGGCAGACAGTTGGCAACGGTTCAAATCCCTGAGGCGGCATGTACTTTATGACTTTAACTTCTAACTTTGGCATAACATTTATGAATGTTTACTTGTAATACGTCTCATGAATGGCTAAGGAACATAACAATAAAACTTGCATATTGAAGAAGTTTTCCAACCCTGGAAACTGTTCATATTCCCCCAAACTTCATTGGACCAGCACAGTGGACTATGCTTAAGGGAGACCCATTCCCTGCAGTGGAATGTGCAGACAAAAGCGTCAATTATATAGTTTTTTTATTCTGTCAATCGCCATATTCATTACCAGGATATCATCAAATAGCCTGGAATTACTACGACCCGTCTTCCTCTGGCTGGCTTGTGAAGGTACTCAACATGAGGCGGGCGCGCGCCCATGGCAGTTGCTGCTCAGTTTGCCACACAGCACAGCACAGACTGATTTATTGCTGGCTTGTCTCACATGCCATCAGGTATGGCTTAATTAACTACAGCTGAATTTCTAAATTCCAGCAGAACAATACATTCTTAATTAAATATTTATTGAATTGATATTCAATTATTTTTTGTGAAATTACTTCACTAGTTTGTTATAATTATTAATACAAAGATGGAACACTTAGGAAAAATTCCTTCGATCTGGATTCTTCGATTGGAACCGACGTCTATGCCACGGAACGAACCAGCGGACCTCACGAATTTTTCTATGTGGTTGTTGTTGAATCTTTGTATTTGGCTTTCAACGACTTTTTAGGCGTAGCGCCATCCGTAGAATTCTATCAAAGTATTTCGTCACCCAGTTAGAAACCTTTACAGCTACCAGCTCTGGCTAGAGATGTCGCTGTTAATTGCAAATAAGATTAATTCATAGATTGTCCCGTCACTTGATGTTATTAAGAAAAAAAAGATTTCTTTTTAGAGATTAATAATTATAACAATACATTCATAATTTAATTATTTCTTTGCACACACCCGTAGCCCCGGACTAGGAAAACCCTGTATCGCGAGTGCCATACTCAAACTCACGAGATAAATAAATGTGGGCCATACAAATATTTCTACCGGCCTGGGAATTGAACCCGGGACCTCTGTGTGACAGACCAGCATGGTAACCATTCGGCCACAGATGTAGCTTGTTATATTCTTTTCTTTAACTAATTATGCCTGCAATTTAGCCAAATGTAATAAAGAAAACTGCATTGGGTCAATATAGAAAACCTCTGCCCAATGGTATATAAACCATTATAGATCTGCAACCCGTCTCAATGTGAGCGCGCACTGGCCTGCTACTGCGCAGTGGGCGACGCGGCCGTGTACCAGCAGAAAAAGGACCTCGTCATGGCCTTACTGCCCATGCTGGCGAGGATATCCACAGAGCTGGTAAAGAATGGGTAATCATACATTCAATTTATTTATTATTTTCTAGTTTGTAAAATAGTAATTATTATTATCTCAAATTAAGTCTTTTGCGTGTTTGTTGCATGCACTGGTCCATTCATACATTAATCTCAGATGTATTGAGTGTACGACTTGTCGAATTCTTAAGTTGCTAACATGCAGTCAATATTTGCAGTTATTGCGTGAAGTCGTAATGCTGCATGCAGCCGAGAACACGACTGCATGAAGTCAGTTTCGAACGCGTTTTAGTTGTGTATTGTGAGCATTTAGAAAAATACCGAAAATTAATGTTATATATATAGATATAGCTACAAGGAGCGACATAGAGTTGTTAAAACCACCAAAATAATTCATTATTAACTTTAATAAATATTATTAACTTAATATTATTAACTTTTTCCAATTCCGGAAATGGTTTTACTGCATCGTAAGACAAAACTACTGACCTAGGAAGTCGAAGTTGGATTTTAAAGTAATCCTAATGGTGTCATGTAAAAAAAAATCAGTAGATAGCCGATCTTTTACCAAAGCAGAGAATAAAAAGTAACGATAATAGTCACTCTCCGCCCCTCCCTATCTTTAGATACCACACCGCGCCCCGCATATTGACGGAACGGCAACAAGGCTGTCAGTTATCCAATCCAACTACGACTTCCTATGTCAGTAGTTTGTCTACACATGTATCTACGTGGAACGCCTTTTTCCGGCCATTGTTAACAATACACAAATTGTAATAAGTGAATATAGAGGGAATTGAACTGATGCACAATGGCGTAGGCAACTATTTTTAGATGTCCTTTAAGCAACAAAATTGTCTTTGGTGCATTACCCAGAAAGCTCAGATCGGAAACAAATAGAAAACTTTGGTTCCCAAATTAATCACCCGCCACAAGTGTGTTGTTTGTGTATCTGTGTTCTGTATATAAATGTCTTCAGGAGAGACCCACGCGCTTGCTACAGCCTTATTGAGCGTTGCTTCGCTTTGGACGCGCCTGAGCTGAAGTCAGTGGCCGGACTCACCGTCATGCTGTTGGCTGAAAACCTCGTCCACAGTTCTGCGCTCTACCTACTTGAGCTCTTCAACCTGTGTAAGCATAATCATATTTCCGCCGCCAAGTAGCAATGTGAACATTACTGCGTTTCGGTTTTGAAGTTTACACGTTACACGGGACTTGACAACTTATGTCTCAGGGTGACGCAGTGGCAGTGCCCTTCAGATCTTTGCGATTTAAAGCTCTGAGTGGCACAGCAACTGTTTTAGACAGGCGTGTAGCTTACCATCAGGCGCACGACATGTTCGTCCAATCAGTTAGTATTATTAAAAGTAAAAACTTTTCTTAAAATTTCTAGGTCTCAACGTAATAACCAAATACGAATACTCTACGATATCACTTAACACGTTCGCTGCCCTCTCTCTGCAATGGCTGCATCTGCCGTCCTATTTGACATCGTCGGCGTTAAAAATAGCATCGAAAATTCTCGATATACACGAAAATGATTTTCGAGAAGATCGCCTCCACATGCCTAATTTAATGGCGAACAAAACGTTTCAAAGTTTGCTCTATACGGATGGACATCTGTCGACAGTTTTCAAGTTAAATCAAATTTGGGAGAGAATAAGGGATTACCCAGATAAATTGAAGAGTTGGCTTCGTGATTTGGAAAATGTACAGGATAGTTTGGTGATTGAGTGGCTTCCGTTTTTGTTTGGTGTTATTTTGGGTGAGTTCAAGTTGGTCTTTTCTTTAGTCTACCAGAAAATTGAGTTATGGACGGTGAAATGTTACACAGGGTTATTTGTAAATAAACTCGGTACAGATTACTAAAAAAACCGACTTCAAAAGTTCGTGGAATCACATCTATTTGACAAGTTTTATTGAAATCAGTTGCCGGAAAGCGCGCAAAACCGGATTCATCCCCTAGTTTGCCACCCTTAGAGGTGGAATATTTTCTTCAAATTTAAGTGGGACGAATATCGAAGTACCCTCTTTCTAACAAAAAAAGAATCATCAATATCAGTTCACAAATGCCCGAGTTATAGCGTAACAAAAAAAATACAGTTGAATTGAGAACTTCCTCCGTTTTTGAAGTCGGTTAAATGCTAACAACCTCGCAGGATTATATTACTAACATCTTAAACATCAACTTTTGTTAATTACGTAGGCTGCCGCCGGAGGATTTAAAAAAAACGAAATTTAATTTTAACTAATTTATTAAAAGATAAAAATTACAATATAATTATTACATGCTAATGCTAATGCCTAGGTTCGATGTTAGAAACCGAGTGTCCATAAAAAATTATAAAGTACGCAAACTGGGGGAAACGCTGACGTTGGTCACGTTGCTGACACTGCTTGCACGCGCTGCTGCGATGCCGCTTCAGCGATATAATTTGGTAATTTATTTCAGCGATATAATTCGTTCCATGACTTTCATTAATTCATTAGACATTCATTTTGTATGTGTGTACATAAGTAAAAATATTTAAATACATAGACGACGCTTGAACACTTGAACTTTCTACTAAATTCAGATCTAAAAGAATCGAAAAAAAGTCTTTTAAAAAAGGCATGTTTTGTGCAAAAAAACCATGAAACAAAAGATATTGTTTTGTGTATGTATATAGTTTTTAATATTATACGAATAAACTTAATGTAAAACATTAACTCACAGGACGCAATACAAATAGAGCGCATAATACCTCCTTTTGAAATAGCGGTTTTTTTCGCATTTTGTTTTTAATAATTACGGTATTTCAGAGAGAGGTAACATCCACTCTATATGTACTACCCGGTGATTAGGCAAATACACTCGCGCCTTTTCCGATCTTTGCAAATTAAATAAGTAGAAAAATGCTCTCTAGCTTTGTATTGTTTGCAGAAAAGCGTAAAGACCCATGGTACGAGGATATAACAGTGCAGGCAATAAACTCAGTGAGCACCTTAGTGAACACTAAGAAGGAGGTCTCGGTGCAAGTGTTGCCAGTGCTTCTTTATAAAATCGCCAACGACACATCGCCGAAAGTTAAAATGAACTGTCTGAAGGCACTGCCGCTCATGGCTAAGGCGAAGGTGAGTTATCTTCTTCCATTAGTTTAAATAACAAGAGTGGTACATAGGTGTAAATAAAATCCGACTCTGCTGAGCAGTATTGGGTAAGCTACGCCTTACCTTATTGTCCAAAATACCACAGTAACTCAAGGCAAAAGTCTTTAACCAGTGTGAGTTTGCCAATGAGGACTTAAAGCTGCTAATAGATCGACTGCATGCAGTTAATGCATGAAATCGTTATCAACTTCATGCAGTCGAGGTCTCGGATGACGATTTCACGCGTGCAGTTAATGTGTGAAATCGTTATCAACTTCATGCCGTCGAGGTCTCGAATAACGACTGCACGCATTAACTGCATGCAGTCAAAACCGACTTCATACAGCCGAGATCGATTGCATGCAGTTAATGCGTGAAGTCGTTATCAACTTCATGCAGTCGAGGTCTCGGATAACGACTTCACGCATGCAGTTAATCATTATTATGCAGAGATTACGCAAGCAATAACTTTGGTATGAAAAGGGAGACTTTTTACCGCGTCTTCAAAAAAACAGACTATAGTTTGTAATTATTATTGATACAAAGATCGAACAACACAAAAATAATGCTTCGACCTGACTGAACTCGAACCAGCGTCTGTTGCCACACCGGGGCTACCATACTTACCAATCGAATTACAGGCCGAGGCAGCAGATCTTACGAACTTCTCTGTGCTTATTTTTTTAAATTTATTTATTTATTGGTTCAGCAACAGCTTAACACACTTAACATTTACATACATTCATTGACTTACAATTATATGGACGTCGGGTCCGCGCTAAAAAGTGTCCGCACTTGTAAGGCGCTAAAATCGTATACAGAGCGCCAAACTCCGCTTTAGTCTTCATTTGTTCTACTGACAGCGCGATACTGCGATGACATTACAATTTAAATTTCGAATAGGTTGACTTGGGACATTTTTTCGTGGTTTTTGTATTAGACCCGTCGTCCATTTATTTGTAAGTCAATGCATACATTATTAAAATAATACAATCTAGTATGTGAGCCAATTACAGCCGAACACAGCATTGTCATGATCACTTAAAATAATAAACTATATGCATTATTCTATTATAAATATACATTTAATTCCTATTGTTTACATCAGATTAATTTTAAATATACATAAAAGACAAAATTGATTTGTTCAAAAATAAAAAAATGAGAAATTTAATTATCTACCTATATTTGAGGAGTGGGCTGCGACAACTTTGTCCTTACGACGGGGAAAACTGTATTACTGTAAACTTATTGTTGTTATTGGGTTTAAATGGCTTTTGTGCCGTCAGCGCCACCTGTTAGAATATTATGAAAGTTTATTTGCTGAAGTGGCCCGGTCAGATCGAAGCAAGTTTTATTTATCAAACTAATTTTTACAGGTAAACGTGCCAACGATAGTTGCGATATTGAACAAATTAAGATCCAACAAAGGTGTGCCCACTTCATTCCTCATCATGTTGTACACCAGACTGGCTGAAACGCAGGTAAGTTTAACTGGAATACAACTCGTGCCCCAATAACCCCTTTAACATATGAATGGATATAACGGGGGACGCTCCGGAGGGACATTTACGGAAAAACCGTCTTCTGTAATTGCGGCGGTTTAGAAATGAAAATGTTGCTCAATGGAACAAAAAGCAGTTTATTACGTGTACTTAACTTCCATACACTTAACTGGGGAAATGGTTACCTATCAGTAGCCCGGAATGACATTTTTCAGAAATAACGTTTGGTCGAAATTTTATAACCTCGAAAGTAATTTTGAGAGGAAAATGTTTTTTCTTTTAAACCTAACTTAATCTAACCGGACCTAATCGTGTCTTTGCGATAAACATTCAACATACCCTGGAAGAACAACTGTTTCGTTATAATTCGGTTGTCGGTTTAATGAAAATTCGAACAAACGTTATTTCGGACAAAACATTTTCGACTTTGTGACAGGTATCCTAGGGAAATATATCGCGAATGATATAATTTAATTATAATGCACTTCAAGGCCATTCCAAATAATGAAGAATGTCCACTGACGGTTTTCCCCGCCTGCCTATCCCTACATTCATGTCATGACAGGAGCGCCTACATTGCAACATTGGAAGTTGCCATATTGTTTTTGTAGCAACAGAGCTCTTTATGAAAGAATTCGTCCAGGGAAATACTGTCACCTTACCTATTCTGCCGCCAAGTAAGGGTAAGGTGTTGATGAAACAGACACATGAGACTTATAACTTATGTCTCAGGGTGCAGTGGCAGTGCCCCTCAGATTTTTGTGATTTTTAGCTCTGAGCGGCCCTGTAACGTTTATGAACAGGCGTATCGCTTACCATCAGATGCACAACTCGTTCGTCCTGTCACTTGATAAAAAATACATAGTGGTGACCTCTACAATTATCTAACGAATTAATATTAACGCCATCCATTTGTTACAAATAAGAAGTCAGTGTTTTCTTGTTGTTTTTTTTTCAATTTATTTGCGATTTCTTAATGTATGTTCATCATTAATACAAGTTACATTATAATTTACGATCTTACTTCTTTTTTAAAGTATATGTAAGTGCACATTTGACCTCCATCTCACCTGATGGATACGATGATGACGATGGAGCATAGCATGCACACCTAAATGCCTATTCGCTCTTGTCTAGAAAAGGCCCAAGTTATAGCGTTCAGGTAACATGTCTGCAGGCAGGGACTTCCACTCC